GGCAATGTGCAAAGAAAGTTGAATTGTACCAAATTAGGGACGAAGGCCTATCTGGCCAGAATGTCCTCAGCCCACAGCCTTCCCAGTGGCTGGTTCTCCGCTCTTGGCTGGGAGGGGCTCCTACCTGGGTAGCTCTGCAGTAACCCTAGGGTCTGGCACCTGGTCTGACCCCCCTTCCCTGCCTGCTCTCCTTACAGCCTGAGAGTACCCTGAAGCCTGTTTTGGGGGTCTTAGCCACCCCCCCACCCCACTGCTCCCTAGTGCCTGTCCCCTCAGGACCTTGGTGTGGTTTCTAGGGTATCCATCAGGCAGGTTGTATTCTTCCTCCACGGGGCCTTACCCTGTCCTGTTCCACTGGCATGGTGTCTACATTGCTGATTTTGGCAAATCCTATGTTCAGGTGCTGGTCTTTGTCCTCTTGCTCAGCTGTCCCCATACTCCAGCTGGGATAAGGGCTCGTGGAGGCTTCTAGAACCAGAGTATTTTCTCAGGGACTGGAAGTACAGCTATATCCCCTGCTTTTTGCTTCCTTTGTGCTGGGCACCTTAGCATGGAGGCCTGTTGCTCCATCTGCCATTTCTAGAGGACCTTGTGCTCCTGTCTTTGTAGCCTACTGTTGGGTAGGCCCAGGTCTGGTCAGATGCTACTCTGGGGCACAGTCAGAGCAACCTGGGTCTCTGCCCCTGCTGATGGGTGAGACCTGCTTCAGTATATCCTCAGGACTTCCCTGATGGAGCTGGTTCCGCTTCTGTCAGCATGCTGGGAGCTGGACAGATGCCTGGATGATTGCCTGGGAGACTCACCTTGGCTCTGCTGGACTGGACGAGGGGGTAATATGGGCAGCTTCTCTCCTGGTTGGCAGCCTCAGGCAGTTCTTTGCACAAAGTAGTAGTCCTAGTTTCATCTTCTTATTCATTAACCAATTGTGAAATTAGCAACTCATTTTCTTGCTAGTTATTTCCCTTTGAAGTTCCATAAAAATCTTGAACTCTTTCTCAACTCCTGCTCTGCAGTAAAACCAAGTGAGAGCCGTGACCTCTGTCTGATTGCATCTGCCATCTGTGGTGGAATCATCTGAGGAAAGAAAGCTGGGCAAGTGGGACTGGGCTCTGTAGATAGAGCAGCTTGTGCTGCTAGTGGGAGTCAGACTCCTGGGCCTGCAGGCCTGCCTGCTGATGGCTGATGACCGGGCCCAGCCTCGGTGGCCTCCCTTCCAACAGTGCATCATTAGGGATTTGTTGCTGGGTACACAGCACAGCTCTTGGGGTGAGTAAGGGCTGCCCCACGCAGCCCCCAACCCCTAGCCTGAGGGCACAGTGCCGTGTGCAGGAGCTTGAGCCCTGCTGATAGATGGGGCTCATATCCCATTCAAATATGATGCCAGCAGTTTTTTTGTAGTTTGTCTTCCATTGCGGTAGTAAAGTTTTTAATTAGGAAAGCTAATGAGATCGATTAGTCATTAGAAGTGACCTCTGGATGGCGGGCGGACAGGGCTGCATGTGTGGGGCTGATAACGCGGGCCGGGGCATCGCTGGCAATAAAGGCGCAAGGGGCTTGATTTGAGCCAAGCGTGCCACGGGGAATACATCATGCGGAGAAAAAAAATTACAACCCTGGGAGTCTGTAATGAAGGGAATTAAACCAACATCCTATCTAAATAACATGATTATCTACACAAAACCCCTCAGCCAGCAAGGAGGAATGGGCCACCCTGGCCTGTGTCCTCCCGGGGGTGGGGGGGTGTGAAGGTCTATTCCTGATGAGGGAGGTTGGTGGCAGAGCAGCGGTCCTGCTGCTTCCTGGGTTGCCACCCACCCACCCCATCTCTGCACACTCTGAGGAATGGGACTCTGGGAGGGACCCTTCCCTTCCTTCCTCCAGTCCTGACTTTCTGGGAGCTCCTAGTTTGTCCCCTACTACCTGTCTGTTCCACTGTTTGCCCTGCTGATTTAGGGTCATTGTCATGATCATATCCAAGCTGCCCATCTGAGAAAGATGGGGATTATGAATGGTCTATGGGGCCAGGCTGTGGAGGTGGGGCATGGACTGGAGCCTGGCTTGGGCCCTCACTGGCTGCAGTGACAACAATGACAAGAAGCTGGAGTCTGCTGTATTACCTTGTAGGGTTTTTTTTTTAAAGGAGTATTCATCGGGTACTAATAAATGTAATAAGTTAATGAAAAAATTGACTTGACAGTGGGCCTCGCATTGCACAGGATCATCAATACTGACACTTATTAATTGGCAGGAAGGAGGACCAGGCCCAGAGATGCTCAGTCAGCCTGAGTGCTACTGTCCACCAAGTCTTGCCTGCTCTGAGCTTCTCCACCTGGGGAGGAACTTTCTAGAACAGTCTAACCTGCGGGCAGTGAGTGCTAGGGACTTCCTAGAGGAAGTAGCAGCTACTGAGCCTGGGAGGGAAGACACGTTTTAGCCCTTGAGGTCAGAAGGTGATTTTAGCCAAAGGGATGCCATGAATCAGGAGACAAGAGTAGAGCCAGGTTCGGGGGTTCCCTGGTACTCAGGACACAGGGAGACAAGGCTGGTGAGAAGGGAGCTCAAGCCCCAGGGACCCCATTGTGACTCAGTTCACCTTTCTTCCTTGCTTAGCAGTGCCTGGTCTCTAAGCAGCTGCTGCAAAGCTGGGCTGTATGGCTCCAAGGGGCATACGTTGTGCCAGACTCTGCATCCCAGAGTGGCAGACATTGGGCAACTATGGGAGTACCATGAGTGGGACATGGCTGGAAGTGGACTGAGTCTGGCAAGTGGGCAGGCCAAAGACTCCTGGCAGTCTGGGGTTGGGGGACAGGGAGATGGCAGCCACAAGCCTTAGCCTCATATCCCCATAACCCAGCTCTGGTGGGTGTCCCTAACTGCCTAGGTACAGAGGCGGGTCTCTAGCCTCCAGCATGTTCCAGGTAGGGCAAGAGTGGGGCCAGACCCCTCTCTTCTCAGGTGGAAGCAGGTAGCCTAGAGTGCAGCTTGGACATGATGAGGTCAGCTTGGGGTTATTGATAACTTAAGGAATTCTTAGGTTCTCAAGCTCTTAGTTAGAACAAGCTGTTATTGATTTTTGTTGGCCTCTCCTTGCTTGTAGGACCTTGAAAATTCAGTTCAACAAACATTTATTTATTGACACCTACCATGTGCAAGGCTGTCCCCTGTGTCCCAAGCATGTTGGGGGATGGGGAGGTGGGTTCTCATAGCTAAAGGTTCACTTACTCTGGTTGCTCAGTGGATTCCAAGTGATGATCCTTGGCACTTTGGCTTCCCAAGCTCCTGTGTTCCCTCGGCTCTTCCTAAGCTGCTACCTTTGGAAGATGAGAGAGAGAGGGAGAGGGAGAGAGGGAGATGGGAGGGAGACCAGCTGTCCAAGTCTACTGACAGGTATTGGGGCTGGCTAGGATGGTCCCTGCTTAGCCATTTTTAGACTCTACTGTGGCCTGCCTTCAGTGGGCAACTGCCACAGGTCCCTGCCTTCAGTTCCTGGGCCCAGCCATGGTTCTCATGTCTACCATTCCCAGTGTCATTTGGCCCTTCCATCTACCTTAACCCAGGCAGGCTCATGCAGCCTGCACACCCTCACCTCAAGGGGTCAGCAGCGGGGACAGACCCTCTGGCATGGGCTCTGGAGGCTCTTGGGAGGGCTTTGACCTCATGTTGGGTCCAGGTGCCCAACTCACCTCCCATGTGGGCTGATGGATACCTGGAGAGAGACTGTGGCCCCTACGGTAGGTGTGGGGACACTTAAGGAAGGGCTCCTGGCTGACATCTGGACCAGGTGGTGCAGTTGGCCTATCTGAGGGCTTTGCAGCCCTTGGAGTGTTTCTGGCAGAGAAGTGGCCGAGGTGCTTCCTCAGGCAGGGCCCTGGCTGCAGAGGTCTGTTGGGTTTAAGGCTTTGGAATAGCATTCCTAGTAACAGTAACAGTTACTGGTCCTGTACCCAGAGCACAGTGTTGTGGGAGCTGCAAGGTCTGGGAGAGCACGTCCTAGGTCTTGGGGAGGCAGGGGTCCCAGGCAGGGGATCTTAGCCACCCCCCCCCCACTGCTCCCTAGGCAGGGGGAAAGCTGGGCATAGACTAGGGGAAGTGAGGTTACCTGACTGAGCTGGCCTGGGGGCCTCCTGCATGAGGCACTGTGTCCAGTGGTGAGGGGAGTCATCGTGAGGGGCAGGCCTGCGTCCAGTGCTGTGTTAGCTTTAATTATCTGGGCAGTTAGAGCTGTACATTATGAAAGTCGGGCAATTAGATGCGTTCCTTGAAGCTATGGAGAAATTGCTGGCTATCAAGTGTAAGAGAACTCGGGCAAAACAGATCCCTGTTAATTGCATGAAGTGTTCAGCAAGAAAAAAGCTGTTGTGTATATCACCCTGCAAAATGTTATGAAAACAAAGTGATTAAGTACATAAATCTGTCTGGGCCTGGTGGTGGGGAGGGCCCCTGGAGAGGGAGGTGAGTGCTCCAGTGCCTCTTCTGTGTGTGTGTGTGGGTAGGGGGGTATAAGTCAGGAGCTCCACCTTCCCTATCCTCCTGGACCCACTCTGCTGGCCTGGGCAGAGATGGCTCTTCTTTCCTCCTTGCTGGCCCACCAAGAGCTCCTAGGAGTCAGGGCCCAGCTTCAAGTCTGAGGGGTTTTTTGTATAGAAGCTTGCTTGAGGAATCCTTTGAGTAATCCCAGTCAACTGGGCCCCTGGCTTGCATGGCTTCTGTTTTCCCTGTGGGCAGTCTCTGGCTTCTTGGGACAGCCATGAGGATGTGCAGGGCTGGCACCCACCTCTCCTGGGGGCCACACTGGTTAGCTACGAAGGCCTTGGGTGCCCTGGGAACGTGTGTGCTGCGTGGATGGAGGCTTGATCTAGTGGGTGATGGGGAGTCCTCTAGCCCCAGAGGAGGTGGTGGGTAAGGGCAGCTTCAGTGGCAGCTTATGGCCCCTGGGGCTTCTCTGACCCTGTCCTTGCCAACCTTCACTGACTTGGGTATGCCCTCGGCTTTCTCTGCAGCGTCCAGCCTGCACATCCTGCGGACTCCACCCACCAGCAAGGTGATCAAGACCCGGTACCGCATCGTGAAGAAGACTCCTGCCTCTCCTCTCAGTGCCCCACCCTTCTCCCTGTCTCTGCCCTCCTGGCGGGCCCGGCGGCTCTCACTGTCCAGGTAAGAGAGCCTTGTCCTAGCACCCACACACAGGCCTGGGAACTGGGCTGTCTGGGCACAGGGGGCTGCAAAGTAGAGCCTGCAGGCTGGAGGAACTGAGTGTGCCCCAAAATTATTTGGTGTAAGGTCGTTGCCTGGGGACCAACCTAATTTTTTTGTTTAGTGATTTCTGCACCAGATATGTGGCCAGCCTATGTGTACCACACTTGCACATATGTTTTTTGCTGTTCTTAGCTAGTAGGGCTTCATCTGGGCCCACATGATCAGCTGGCCGGGCATCTCTCAGGGAGAAATTTCTAATTAGAAAGGCTGGACCCTGAGCAACCTTTTTGGAAGCCATCAATATATTGATTGTCAAGGCAGTGCTATGGGGCTTCTCCTTGCCCTGTCCCATGCTGCTGCCTGTGGTTTGGCCTGTGCCAGCACTCTGAGCTTGGTGCAGCCCGTTGGATCTGAGAGCATGTAGGGTGGGACAGCTCCATCTGGAGGAGCAGCCTCTGCCTTCCTGGAAGTTTTTCTGGGGAGGCCCTGGCATCCATTCAGTTGAGGTTGCTCAGCCTCTGAGCCTCAGGAGGCCAGGTTCTGGGGGGCATGGTCTCTTCTTTTGTTGAGCTGGAGGTGTCCCGTGTCCAGGCTTGGGATAGGGTGATAGTCCTGGTGGGCATATGGGGAACAAGCATTGGCAAATCCTCTCCCTCTGTCCTCAGACTCTCCGTTGGGAGCCTGCTGCCTAAGGGAATAGTGTGGGCCAAAGACTGTAGGAGCAGCTGCAGTCCAGGGGCCCTGCCACCCTCTGCACAGCATGCCTGGTAAGTCCTGGCTGCTGCCCAGAGGCTTCTAGGCCTGAGGCTAACCACAGGAGATCCACCCTGAAGATAGAGCTCTGACTCGGGTCCATGGCAGATAAGCCAGGTGGTGAGCCCATTAGGTGGTCTACCTAAGGCCCGTGGTTATTCTTCCTTACTGCTAGGCCACACTAAGCTTGGCCCTGCTACTGACTTTTCTGGAGGCAATAGCTGGAAGTATATTTTAAATTAATTTTACTGCACTTTTTGTAATATTTTTGTTTTAAATAGATTTATAAGCATCTTGGGGGCTATTTCTACAAATTTATGAAGATAATTTTTATTCTCTCGATAAGGTTAAATTTACACCTGCTATTTCCATATTAATTCACATTGCTAAGTGGATCTAATTTTCTTCCGTTCTTCTATCTGGTGAGCATGGCCTTTCCTAATGCAATTTCCCCCTCACTAAATCACTGTGATCGGGAGTCATGATCGAGCTAAATTAACTTAAATTAATTTACTTAATAAGAGCCCCAGATCATTGGGAATGAGGTTCAGATTTATGGGTTCTTAGCTCCTATTCCCCATCCTGCAGTCAGCATTCTGGCCCAATGTTGGGGGTCCATTCCTTCCAGGGGCCCAGCTGGGAGCCTAGCAATGATTTTCCTCAGGGCAGAACCCAGTGGGGCCTCTCCCTCTGGATTCTGAGGGCCAAGAAGGCCTTGGGTTTGGGTCCAGTTGGACCAGGTCCTGTAACTGGGCCCACCCAGGAGGTCCCTGATGAGGTCACTGGGCAGAAATAGGTACCCAGGTCCCAGTGGGGCGAGGGCTTCTAGAGGAGGGAAGTGGCCAGGTACATCCTTGTGGGCCAAGGCTGTGTCTATTTTGTACCTTCAGTCAGCATGTACAGTGGCCTTCTGTTGACCTCATAAGACTGGGAACAACCAGGTCAGCTGAGCTGCTCCCACCAAGCTCTCTGTCCCTTGAGGGTGTAACCTGGCCAGCTGCCTTGCAGGAACTGGCCCTGGCTCTCTGGGTGCACAATTGTGGGTGGGCAGGAGGTGGGGAGGATGCCACCCTCTGATGGTGCAGGGCCTGTAACCATAGGAACCCGAAGGCCTGGTTGTGCTTCATGGCCGTGGGGTGTAGGGTTCAGTGCCCTCCCTGTGCATGGAGTCCAGCCAAGGCCACCCCAGGATGGGTGTCGTAACTAAGGGCCTGTGTAAGGAGGGGCCCTTCCTTGCTTTCCTGACTGCCTCACCCAGTCCTGTTTGGCCCCTTGCCGGCATCTGGGACCCTTAGGGGCATGACCACTGGGCTTATAGATAGCAGTATGGGGGTGGGATTGGAGAGGGTCTTGGGAGGCCCTGGGAAGAGTGCCTGCCAGCAGGCTGGGCCTCCCTCATCCAAGGTCACCTGTGCCTCAGTGTGGCTGCCTTCTCAGCAGAGTGGCCGCCAGCCAGCTGCCCAGCCTGCTATTGGCTACACAGGCCTGGGCTCAGGCTTGTTGAGGCAGCAGAACGGACCTGTCTCTGGGGCCTGGCCTATGTGCTGTCTTTGGAACTCCATCAGAGCCAGGGCTGCCTGTATGTGGTTGGCTGGCTCTCTTTGGCTGTCTCCTGGACCCTCTGGCTCCTCAGCTCTACCTGGGCACCACACCCTGAAGACTCAGGCCACCATGGACTAAGGGCTGCTGTGGTGATGAGAAGGCAGGCTGTCCTGCTAGGCGGTCAGCCAGAGTCTGGGACCTAGGACTCTCCTTGGGTCCCCATCTCTGCCCCCTGCTCCTGGAGAGAGGATGCCCCTAGAGGGGCTTGAGGCAGTTCTCAGCAGTCCTGGAAGCCTCAGTGGGCAGAGTTGGGGGCTCATGGACACATGAGAGGTGAGGCAGGGTGACCAGCGGCCAGTTGCCAACATTGGCAGAGGTATTGCCTGCCCACTCTTTGCAGACACCCTCACTGTGATTGGAGATTTTTTTTACCCCAGAGGAAGTCATTTTTGGGTGTTGGGGGCTGCCATCCTGGGGAAGCCCTGGCAGGGTGGGTGAGCTTGGGCAGGTCTTCTTCCACTCATCCCATTTGGAGCCTCAGTTTCTTGATCTGTCCTTGAAGCAGAATCTGTTCATTCAGAGGTAGGAGCTGGGCCTGCTCCACATGAAGCCCCTACCTCCCGGGATATGGATGGACACAAATAGCCATGGTGCTTGGAGGAGAAGAGGAAGTGGGGTTGGAGGGCAGAGGGAGCTGTGGGCAGAGGCCCCTCGAGGAGATGGAGGGGGCTGCAGACTGGGTGTGGTGAGCAACTCTGAGTTTAAAGGGAAGGCTCTTGGGGGTCTGGGCAAGGATCTCAAAAGCCCCAGGACTGCTACCTGGGTCAGCTGAGCATCCTGAGCACAGTATGATCAGAGACTGGACTCAGCACAGCTGGTGCTTTGGCTTGTCCTTGCCTGCCTTGTGCCATGGGGCATGGGTAGGGTCTCTAGACTCAATCCTGGTGGGAGTCTCAGGACAGGGCCTGACCTTCAAGAGGCTGAAATTGCAAAGGCTAAGGAGAGGGCAGGACCCCTGCCACTTCTGTCCTGAGAATATTGGGACTGGGCCCTGCCCAGGATGGGGACAGAAGACAGTAATGCAGCCTGACACCATAAGGCCTGCATGGGCCAGGGGCCCTCTCCCGGAGCACTCTTCTTCTGCTGCTGACAACAGCTCTCATGCCATTGCTGTTGCTGTCCCTAGGGTGTCCTTTCTTTGCCTTCCCCTGCCACCAGTGCTCTTAGTAACTGCTCCACCACTCCTACTGGCCTGTTTATATTGCATATATCCCCTGTCTTCCCTACTCTGGATATAAAGGCAGGGCCTCCTCTGTCCTCTGGCCTCCTCTGTCTTCTGCTGCCATGCTTAGAACTATGCCACACATGGCAGGGGCTGCACAGCCCTGAGGCAGGCATAGGAGGAGACCCCACTCCTGGTCAACTGTCCATGAGAATCAGGGCCCCTCTGTAGCCTCCTGCTGCCTGCTAGACAAGTCAGGGGACCCTGGCCTCCTCAGCTGTTGATGCTGGCTTCTGTCCTGGAGAGTAAGGAGAGTGTGCTCAGACCTGTTCCCCTTTTTGGGAAGCTCCAGAAATTCTGCTTCCCTGTAGCCCTAGGGCCTGAGACAGGCCACAGAGTGACCTCTGCTGTTGTGGGCCACTATCCCTGAGCATACCAGGGAGGTAATTTTGCCCCCTGTCTCCTGATTTAAGTAAAAGCTTATCCTTGGCCTGGGGTTAAGTTTGGCTCCTCTGGGAAGCTGAGGGGCAGCATTGAGGCCCTGTTGATAGCTACATGCATAGGAGGGGACTGAGGTACCTCCTTCCTGACATCAGCTCTCTCTAGGCCTGGATATGGAGGGACATGGATGGGGAGATTCAGCTAGAAGTTGGCCAGAGTCCTCAGGTTTTCTAGGCTGGTCATTGCTTGTCTTTGTCCAGACAGAAGGCCAGAGGTCACTGAACAACAGCTCTTGAATCTTTTGGATTGCTGCCGTCTCTGAGGATGGGCATGCCCACTGAGGCCACAGGTTAGACAAAGTCAGCTGTTATCCTGACCAGGTGAGCATGTGTGGAGGCCAGGCAGGAGGGTGGGAGTACAGTGGCCCCTTCAGGGAGAAGGGGGCAGTTATGTTGTGCTGCAGTCAGGATAGGACTCCAGCCTTCGAGGGCTGGCGTTCATGGTGCCATCTCTGTACTATTGTTAGAGGCCATATTACCCTGGCCCGTAGATACCAAGCTGTGGGGCTTCTTGGGGTGTAAAGGCAGTGTGGCCATGTACAGCCTTGCTCTAGAGAACAGGGTGTGGAATTAGGCTGCTCTGCCAAACATGGTGCTCATTGTGCCGGGGGAACAGATAGGATGGAGCCATTACTCAGATACAGGACCCCCTGGGAGTTCACTGCACAGGCTGCCTCACAAACCCTTCCTGGACCTTGCTGCAGTGGTGTCTGAGGGCCTGCTCTATGGCCAGCCCTCCCCTGGGTCCTGAGGACTGCTGTCTTGGAGTGGGGCCTGCCCCAGCGGGTGCAGAATTAGCCCAGGAGTTAGAGGGTGTCTATGCAGGCCTTGGGTTCTGGGGTACAGAGGCAGAAGGTCAGCAGAGGGTCTAGGGAGAGCCACCCCCAAGGGCTGAGGCTCATGTTGAGCAAGGATTTAATTTTTTTGTTGTTCCAAGATTT